TTATAAAGAACTTGGATTTCCAGTCATTCATTGTTGCACATTTTCTTCCCTTCCCCCCTTCTGCCCCTCAGTTATCTTTTTGACTCACTTCTCTCTCCTTTCACCTCTTGAAAGAGAAAAGGTGATGCAGACCAAACTCCTGGGAAGCTCCCCTTACATCGGATCAGGGATGTGACCTGAGTTAAGATGTTTCTTCTCCCACAGATCACCTTACAAGTAATTGCACCAGACCAAACCCTAGAGGATGGATCATTCGTTGTATAATTGACAAACTATTGATAAGCTCTTAACTTGAAAGTCTAGAGATCTTCTAAAAATACTATGGATAGGATTTATATGTGGGAAAATAACATTTAAAATTTTATTAATTCTAAGTGCAATGTCTAAGGCCTGTCTTTAATTGTTTTTGGTGAAACATTCTTCTAGGTCGTATAGCCCTGGTGTGTTCACTTGCCTTACAGTGGCAACCTGTGGTTGCTGTGAAGCTAAACACTGTGACAGTGACGTGTCAAATGCGATAATGGTTACCCATGGTGGACAGTGTTTGGTGGTGCTTCATGGCTGAAACAAGCTTGGAAGCAGGAGTGACATCCACTTCTGTAAATAGCTTGTCTCTGGAAACCCTACGAACATGGAAAAAGGATGAAAGTCACAGAACTGTCGAGGACTTTCATTCATAGGGTTGCTATGAGTAACCTACGACTCGAGGACACTTAACAACAACAACAAGTGCAATGCAGGTTTTTGGGTTTTTTTTACTTACTCAAACAAGCAAACCAAAAAGAGTGGTCATCAGTCAGGCCTGTGACTGTCCAAGAGGAGTCACAGATGTTTCTACATCTCATAACATTTTCTGGAGCTATCTAAAAATATTGTTTCTATTGATCACTTTATAACTGTCACTTACTAGATGAACGGCTAAAATTTGTCAGTAAGTATGTTACTAAAGATATCCACATATCACTCTATCACTTGTTATTAAAATTTAAAAATTGTATTTCATTAAAACTGCCTTGTATTTTATCCTATTCTATTTTGTGCATTTAAAGGCATTCTTAACATAGGCTTCACTGGACTGGAAAAAGTGTTTGTGGCACATAAAAGGTGAGGGTGACCCGTGTTAGAAAATTTAGATTTCAGTGATCAGAGTAAACCACCAAATATCACATATCTATGCTTCATCACCAATCTGCATTATGCAGATGACACAACCCTGCTTGCTGAAACTGAGGAGGACCTGAAGCGCCTGCTGCAGAGGGTC